CTGGATGACTGTATGCGTGAGAACCACGGATTGAGACCCGGCCGGCGATGTGAGGTGCAATCATGGCTGTATGGGAGCAAATTTCGGGGCTCTTGGATCCCGGAGCGCAAACGTGTCGCCTACCTCCTTCCCTGCCCCTCCCACCTCCTCTTCCCCTCACCCCGCCCTACCGGGCTTGCGCCGCTCTCACACAACACCTCAACAAAATTATTCATATCCGCATACTTTCCGTGGAAACAGGGATGTGCTTTCGTCCTCGACCTACCTTTCTTCTTCGCCGCCGTTGGGGGTGAACCCGTCGCGAGAGTGCCTCCTCCTCCGCCGCCTGAAGCCTTACCATCGTCTTCGGGTTTTAGGGAGAGAGAACCTTGAGCCCAAGCCCCTCCCACCGTCGGTGGCTTCACAGAAGTTGTGCCCAGCATATTTCCAAAAGGCGCTTTGGCTTTAGTTGATTAGAGTTAGCTGAGGATTGTGGAGAGAGGCGAGCAAGGAAAAGGAAGGGACGTCATGAGGCCGAAGTGGGACTTGAGGGAGTCTGCCTTGCTTTTCCCCCGAAAAACACGGCTCATAAGTATACGCATACAATGAGTACTCTTAATGGTAAGATAGCAGATCGGGCGAAGAAGAAGAGGCTGCGAGGGGGACCACCCCCGAGGTTTAAAAGTAGTGCCGGGCGGACTCCTTGGATACTGAAGTCCAGGATGCAGGAAAAAAATGCGTCCACTCCAATCCACCAAAAACCATCAACATCAACGCGCACTATCACCTCAGCCTCCTCGTCATCCACTCCCCTCGTGCGAGATCGACCCGTCCGTTTTCATTCCAGAGCCCGCCGTGGGCCCTGCGCTAGCAAGAAGAAAAAGAAAGGCCCCCGGCCGCTGCGAGAGAGCCTCCAGGCGAGGGGCGGGTGGCGGGGAGGTTGGCAAGCAGGAAGGCAGATATTCAACAGGTTACTTGCCATGCCTGCGTACCTCTCACAGAGGTGTCGGTGTACACATATATACAGGTATCCAAGTTTTTAAGGGGATTTGCTGGTGTCGTTTGTGGTCTCAAATATGGTCAGAACGACACAGAAACGGAAGGCGGCTATGACTTCTGCTGGTACAACATCTGCGAAGCCTGCCAAAAAAAAACAAAGTACCACTATCAGCAGCAAGCAAGAGCAAGCAGAATCCCGAAATAGACGGAATAAGGACGAAAATGAGGCTCTCACTCGGGTAGAAGACGAATCCGAGGAGCAGGAAGACGAACAAGAGAACCTTGTTAGGCGCTCCTCTACCCGCATGGGTGGAATGCACGGTTTGATGCTACGGGGCCGCGCGGATGGAAGCAGCAGCAGCGACAGTGGAGCCGACGAGGATGAGAATGATGAGAATAGTGTCAGCGACAGCGCGGATGCAACGGCGCGTGCCAGGAACGGTGGGGGGAGCAAAAAACGCTTGCTCTCTGCCGCCTCTTCCGCAGGGCGGGCGTCGAACGTATCCAAGCCGATGACAGGAAAGAAGGACCCTGACGTACAAAATGATTTCTCCAATACATCCAGTCACCCTGTCGTTGGAGCCGCTTCGTCAAGTACGGTCAAATACGACGGTTCTTACAAGAATCGACAGCGTGTCCTGGTCTTTTGTTCGCGGGGCGTGACGGCGCGCTACCGCCACTTGCTGGAGGACCTGCGGAAGCTCATTCCCCACCACAAAAAGGACGTCAAGCTCGACTGCAAAGGGGACTTGCAGGTCATCAACGAGATCGCGGAGGTCAAAAGCTGCAACAATTGTCTGTACTTGGAGGCTCGGAAGCGGCAAGATCTCTATCTGTGGCTAAGTAAGACACCCTTGGGGCCTTCTATCAAGTTCAGCGTCCTCAACGTGCACACCCTCGACGAGCTCCGCCTCACGGGCAACGCCATGCTCGGTTCCCGACCCGTGCTTTCCTTCGACGAGGCCTTCGATGCCCGCCCCCACACCCGCGTGATGAGAGCCCTCCTGGTCGACGCCTTTGGGACCCCCCGGGGGCACCCCAAGAGCAAGCCCTTTGTGGACCGAGTCCTGGCCTTCGCGCTCGCGGACGGCAAGGTGTGGGTGAGAAACTACCAGATCGTGGATGCGGCTCCGGCGGCGACGGCGGCGGACCCTGAGGCGGCCGCGAAGGCCGAGGCCAAGGCCGCCGCCAGGGCGGCCGCAGGGAGGAAAAAGGAAGGGGGAAAGGGAGAGGCGGGGGAGGGGGAGCTGACCAGCCTGGTAGAGATCGGGCCTCGCTTTGTCTTGAACCCGATCCGCGTCTTCGCCGGCAGCTTCGGGGGGCCCACCCTCTACCAGAACCCGGACTTCACCTCTCCTAACTTCGTG